ATATATTCAATTGAATTTCAATCCTACAAAAAATTTATTCTAGGCAACTTATAATCACCTTTACAAAACATGACCAGGATCTGTGTGAAAAAAAAAGTAAAGGGGGGCACCTGGGTGGCTCAGTCAGTTAAATGTCTGACTTCAGCTCAGGTCATGATCTCAGTTTGTGAGTTCGAGCCCCGCATTGGGCTCTGTGCTGCCAGCTCAGAGCCTGGAACCTGCTTCAGATTCTGTGTCTCCCTCTCTCTCTGCCCCTCCCCTGCTCACACTCTGTCTCTCTCTGTCTCTCAATAATAAATAAACGTTAAAATAAATAAATAAATAAATAAATAATAATAAACGTTAAAAAATTAAAAAAAAAAAAAGTAAAGGGCCTTATGAAAAAGTAAAGGGCCAAATAACAGCAAGAACACTTCTAGCTTACGGAGGGCAAGTCTGTCTGACCAGATATCAAGACTTATTATGCTATAATAATGAACAGAGTGAGATATGGGCCAAAGATAGACAAACAAATGGAACAGAGCCCTGATATGGAACCACACTTGTAGGAAAACTCTGGTATCTAACAGAGGTATGATGTCAGAACAGAAAGTAGGAAGAATTAAAAAAAAAAAAAAAAAAAAAAAAAAGGAGCAGGGAGCCTTGGTGGCTCAGTGAGTTAAGCGTTGAACTCCTGGTTTTGGTTCAGGTCCTGATCTCACGGTTTATGAGACCAAGCCCAAGCTCAGGCAGCACACAGCCTGTTTGGGATTTTCTCTCTCCTTCTTTCTCTGCCCCTCCCCTGCTCATGCTCTCTCTCTCTTTCTCTCAAAATAAATAAACTTAAAAAAAAGGAGCTATAAAGTTATAATTTTTTTCTCATTTGTCACTTAAACTCTTGTCTTTGTTTCTGATTATGCAACAGAAAGGATACTAAAGTCATGATTGTTTTGCTGCTGAATTATAATGTCAGAATAAATAAAAACTTTTCCAATTCAACAAACATTAAGCATAGAGACTTATTTCAGATTGCAATCTGCCAAATGATTCTCTTAGGGAAAAAGAAATCTGCCATATAAATGCTAAGGCAGCAATTCTGATCCTAGGAATCCATAAACCTTCTAAAATGTACATAAAGTTTTGTGTGCATATGCATATTGAGTATTTTTATGTGGGGAGGCTCTAAAGCTTTCATCATCTTCCTAAAGGAATATAAAGTTTCCACAAAAAATAAATATAACCACTGTACTTAAATAAACAAATATTTAAGTACAATCAAACTATTCTCAGTAGTTACTTATGAAGAGAAGAAAGTTACAGCTAAAAGGAAGAAAACAGGGATATTCACATATTATGTGCCATTTAATCTTAAAAAATTTTTTTTAATTTTGAAATAATTACAGATTCACAGGAAGCTGCAAACATAACAGAAAGCAGTCCTGGACATGTTCACCCAATTTTCTCCAATGGTAACATCTTACGTAACTATGGCACAATGTCAAAATCAGGAAATCAACATTGAGACAACCTATAGACCTTATTCAGAATTTGCCAGCTTTAACACATAATCATTTGTGTATATTTGTATTTATGTAATTCTATGAAATTTTATCACATACCTAGATTCATGTTACTACCACCATATTCAAAATATACATCTACTGTATCACCATAAAGCAACTCCCTCATACTTATAGCCTCATACCAACCACTAATCTATTCTAATTTCTAAGAATATATTATTAGGTATTCGTAATACTTCTGTAAATTCCCCCAATGCATGTACATATGTGTGTGTAATACTGTATGTAGTATTTATACATATGTAGATATATACATATGCACATCCATATAAACAAATGTACACACAATCTTAAATGCATAGAGAATTTTTTCAGAAAATACTTTAAATCCTTAATAGTGATTTGCTTTAAATAACAGTATTGAAGGTATTAGGGGAAAAATGAAGGCCTTCTAATTTTTTTGTAACTTTCTATATATTTTTAATTGTGTACAATCAACTTATTTTATAATTTTTTTGTAGAGCAATACTTTTAAATATCCCTTGTGTAAACTTTTCACTGGCCAGATTTAAGAAACCATTAGTTCACAGTAATTTTTTTTTTTTAATGTTTATTTTTGAGACAGAGAGAGACAGAGCATGAACGGGGGAGGGTCAGAGAGAGAGGGAGACAGAATCTGAAACAGGCTCCAGTCTCTGAGCTGTCAGCACAGAGCTCTACGTGGGGCTCGAACTCACGGACCGCGAGATCATGACCTGAGCCGAAGTCGGATGCTTAACCGACTGAGCCACCCAGGCACCCTTATTCTTTAGACACTTGTAGAAAATTCCTAGGAACGCAGTGGTGATTACAGGAAAGGAAACTAAATAAGCTGATAGGAAATCAAATTTGTAATATGCTCTGCTAAACTGTAAGTTTAGTGGAGCTCTTTCCAAAAAGAAGTTGTAGGTACATATAATAAAATACCTCTCTGTTAGCCTTAAATCCTAATTCTCATTCTCCCATGTACTAGTTATGTGACCTGAGTAAGGTGAGATTGCCTTCGCAAGCCTCATTTTCCCCATTTGTAAATGAGTCTATGATAATATTCACCTTCACATCTTGTTCAGACAAGTTTATCAATGGGGAAATACTTAACACAGCCACTTGTCCATGTAACGGAAGTTATGATATCTGGCCATATTATTTCAAACAACAATGGGTAAAGCAACATAGTGAAAACAATACTAAACAATACTAACAATACTAAAGCAACATAGTAGAAAGACCCAAATTGGAAGTTTCTAGGCATGGACTCTCTTTCTTTAGCTATATCAAATTCAAGAAGTCGTTTCTCTCTATTGAAAGTTCAATTTATTTACTTATAAATAAAACTGCCACCTTAAGATCATACAAAGTACTATGTGTGAAAATACTAGAATACTCAAGGCACTATAAAACTCAAATGTATATAAAAGCTAAAATATTGGAACTGGGAATGAAAGAAATATTCTGTGAATTAAAAAGACAGGCTTAATGGATATAGAGTTGGTAAGTTGGAGATAGGAGCTGAAGAGAAAAAAAAAAAAAAGAAAATAGGGGCTGGAGTCAAATTAGTCTTCTTAGAGTGCCACCACTGATGTCTTCGTTTGTAAAATGGAAATGGAAATAGTACCAACATCCCAGCGTGGTGAGGATTAATGGGATAATGCCAGTAAAGCTTTTAGAACACTTCTTGGCACATAGCTCCCATATTTATTATTTGTTGTCGTTACTATTTACTGATTTATTATTTATTATTTTAGAGAGCAAGAGAGGGCGCAAGCAGGGGAGATGAGCAGAAAGAGAGAGAGAATCCTAAGCAGGCTCCATGTTCACTACAGAGCCTGATGCAGGGCTTGATCCCATGACCCTGGGCTCATGACCTGAGCCAAAATCAAGAGTCAGACACTCAACCAACTGAGCCACCCACGTGCCCCATTATTGTTATTACTATTATGCCTTAGCTTACTTAGCTGTAAAAGGTGGGATAACACCGACCTAATAGAGTATACATGAAAAATAAATGAGGTATTAGTAGGGCATGTCAAGTAATACTTTAATGGAAGCTGATTATAACAACAAAACTAAGAACAGTTGGCCTAATATCTCTAACCAGATATTATGATTCTTTTCCAGAATATCATATACTTGCATTATTTTTCTTATACAGTTAGAAAATTTCTTAAAATCTTCCATCAAATTCATTTTTAATAAGCTAACAATCACACTTAAGAAAATTTACTAGGTTGGGACAAACATATTAAAAGAGACATTTCAAAAAACTAACATTCAGAAAATTTTAACAATACTTTCAATAAACTTTCAATGTAAAATAACTGAATTCCAAGTTAAGAAAAAAGTTAATATTTAATAGAAAAATAAATTATGTTAGAACCTATAAATATTGTTGGGAGTATTCTTTTAATTATAGTTTAGTAGAGAAAAGAGAAGAAAAAAATTGTTCCACCCTACTGCTTTAGAAAAATTGTTCCACCCTACTGCTTTAGAAAAAATGGAATAATTAAAAGGGAAGCGACAGGTTTTTAAAACCAAGTTATTAATTGCTACCATCTACTTTCTGCTTAGCATTAACAATAAATTTTAAAATATTCCATTACCCTTTTTCGTGGCTTTATGTTTTTCTTTAGTTTTTTGTTTTTAAGTCCCTTATTTCCCAGTAGGAGCTCACAGAAAGAACAATGTTTTCCTTTTTTTCCCCTCACATAAAAAACTCCATATTTGGGTATCCTTTAGAGAAAGCATTTTCAGATGAAGTGGCCATTATCACGTTGCAATTCACTGGTCTAGATAATTCCTACAATATCAGTACCAATAACCTGATATTTATTATATACACATCTGTATGAGTGACTTTTAGTGCTTTAGGTTCCCCAAAGCTGAAGCCTAGTAAGAATCTTTTAGGCCAGAACGGATGCAAGGATGTTCTATTCTGGACTCCATGGGAAAACTTACTTTGTCTCCAATTCTATTCACAAAGCAATTAGGTAAAGTCCAAAACACTGGGTCCTGAGTAAAATGAGAAGCCATTTTCCTATAAACTAACCTCACATTAATAGGCAAGTTACTGATTTAACACTGGGGCTAAAAGGTAGCCAACTACCTAGAAAAATCTGTTTTCTTGAATAGGTAGGTTACCCTCATCAGGATTTAAACTGACAGAACATGTTCAAACAATTCAGCACTGCCCTGGAAAATCCAAGAGGGTACCAGGCTTGCAACAACAAATGATAGGTCACTTCCTTCAGGGATTTATTTATTTATTAAGTATATTGGACCAAAGACCTGCCAAAAAAAATTATGAAACAATTTAAAACATTGCCATTTAGATGGAAAATGAGGCTCATTTAAGTAACACATGGCCTATGTCTAGTCAACACCCATGCAACGGTACACTATTTGAAACCATTTCAAACAGCAAATTAGAATTGACTCAAGAAGATAAGTATCAGTACTCACTTTTTTATTTCTCGGAGCAGCATTCGGATAAGGATGGTCTGAAGTGGTTCAACCATCAATTTCCTCCACATATCCAATGCTAGCTGCCAGGAAAAATAAAATTATCAAGGCTGAACTACTTTTAACATTTGTTAAAATGTTAAAAGACTCTTCAAAGCAAAAATACTCTTTCGAGTATTTATAGCCAAAATTTCAAAATTCAAATGAAAACTGAATATACATAAAAAATAAATTTCTAAGTTATTTATTTATTTTTTTGAAAGAGAACGCACGCAAAAGAGAGGGCAAGCAGGATAGGGGCAGAGGAAGAGGGAAAAAGAATCCTAAGCAGACCCCACACTCAGCACAGAGCCTGAGGCGGGGCTTAATTCCACAACCTAGAGAACCTGACCTCAGCCAAAATCAAGAGTTCGATGCTTAACCAACTGAGCCACCCAGGCGCCGCTAAATTTCTAATTTAAAATGAAAATGACTACCACATCAGACTTGTACAAGAAACAGAATTAAGGTTTTATCATTAACTGAAAGTCTTAAAGACATAATTGATTAGATTTTTATGGAATAGAATTTATTGAATGTTAAATGCCCAGTATTATGGAAAGGCTAAGACTAATAGAAATAAAGGAATTATGTTAAAGTGATTTAGCTGTTGGCTGATTTTTGAAATTACAAAACCTCTCATACAAACATAAAAGGAAGGTCAACTAAAAGAATAATAAAATAAAACATTCCTGTACTCACCACCCAGTTTAAGAAACACAACTTCCACATTACCATTGTACCACATATCCTCCTACTTTCCCCTCAAAGGTTACAACCACCCTGAAATTTGTGTTAAATCATTCCCTTGCTTTATAGTTCTACCAAATGTCTACATGTCCCTATAATATTTTTCTTGTCTTAAGTCCAGTATAGTCAACACACAGTGTTCTATTAGTTTCAGGTGTACAGTATAATGATTCAACAATTCTATACATTACTCAGTACTCATCAAGATAAGTGTACTCAATCTCCTTCACCTATTCCACCCAGCCCCCACCCACATCCTCTCTGGTAACCAGTTCTCTGTAGTTAGGAATCTGTTTCTTGGCTTCTTTTTTCTTTCCCCATTTGTTTTGTTTCTTAAATTTCACTTATGAGTGAAATCATATGGTATTTGTCTTTGTCTTATTTCATTTAACATTATACCCTCTAGATCCATCCATGTTGTTGCAAATGACAAGATTTCATTTTTTATGGCTGAGTAGTATTCCATCGTGTGTGTGTGTGTGTGTGTGTGTGTGTGTGTGTGTGTGTGTACCAATTCTTAACCATTCATCTATATCGGTGGACACTAGGGCTATTTCCATAATTAGGCTACTGTAAATAATGCTGCATATACATAGGGGTGCATAGATCTTTTTGAATCTGTGTTTTCATTGTCTTTGGATAAATACCCAGCAGTGGAATTACTGGATCATATTTCTATTTTTAATTTTTTGAGGAATTAAAATTAAAAAAATTTTTAATTTTAACCACTGTTTTCCGCAGTGGTTGCACCAATTTACATTCCCACCAACAGTGCTTGGGAATTCCCTTTTCTCTACATGCTCACCAACATTCACTCTATCTTGTCTTTTTGATACTAGCCATTCTGACTGGTGTAAGGTGATTTCTCATTGTGGTTTTGATTTTTTCATTTCCCTGAAAGTGATTTGAGAATCTCTTCACGTGGCTGTTGGCCATTTGTATGTCTTCTTTGGAAAAAGGTCTATTCAGGTCCTCTGTCCATTTTTTAATTGAATTGTTTGGTTTTTTTGGTACTAAGTTGTATAAGCTCTTTATGTATTCTGGATATTAACCCTTATTAGATATGTCATTTGCAAATATTTTCTCCCATTCACTAGGTTGGCTTTTTGTTTTGTTGATGGTCTCCTTTGCTGTGCAAAAGCTTTTTATTTTGGTATAGTCCCAATAGTTTCTTACTGCTTTTGTTTCCCTTGCCTGAAGGAAACATCCACAAATATGTTGCTAAGGCCGCTGTCCAAGATTTTACTGCCTGTTTTTTCTTTTATGAATGTTATGGTTTCAGGTCTCACATTTATATCTTTAACTCACTTTGAGTTTATTTTTGTGTATGGTGTAAGAAAGTGGTTGTTTCATTCATTTGCATATAGCTGTCCAGTTTTCACAACACTATTTACTGAAAAGACTCTTATTCCAGCCTCCTTTGTCATAGATTAATTGACCACAGAAGTGTGGGTTTGTATGCATGGGCTTTTTATCCTATTCCATTGATCTATGTGTATTTATGTGTCCGTACCATACTGTTTTGATTACTACAGCTTTGCAATATAGTTTGAAATTAGGAATTGTGATACAGTTTTGTTCTTCTTCAAGATTGCTTTGGCTATTTGAGGTCTTCTGTGGTTCCATACAAATTTTAGGATTATCAGTTCTAGTTCTGTGAAGTGTTATTGATATTTTGTTAGGGACTACAGTCAATCTGTAGATTGTTTTGGTAACTCCTTGGTTTTTTGTTTTTTGTTACGTTTCTTTATTTTTGAAAGAGAGAGACACAGCACGAGCAGGGGAGGGACAGAAAAAGAGAGAGACACAGAATCCAAAGCAGGCTTCAGGCTCTGAGTTGTCAGTACAGAGCCTGACGCGGGCCTCAAACCCACAAACCATGAGATCATGACCTAAGCCAAAGTCGTACATTTAACCGACTGAGCCACTCAGGTGCTCTTAACTCCTTTTGGTTTTAACTTGCATCTTCTTGAGCGAGGCTGGGCATCTTTTTATATTTTTATTGTATGTCTTAGTTTTTTTTCTGTGAAATGCCCATTCATCTCTTTTGCCCATTATTCTATTAATATTTATCTTGTTTTGAATAAAAACTAGGAGTTCTTAAATACTGTAGAAATTAATCCCTTGACATATATACTGCAATTTGTCAGAGTTTTGTGACTTAACTTTTGAGTTCTTTTAAAAGTGTTTAGTAAAAATACATTATATTTTAATGTCTCCATTTTATCAATCTTTTCCTTTATTGTTTGTATTTTCCATGTCTTTTAAGAACTTCCCTAGCCTAATGTCAGGGATATGTGTGCTCTTATATTGCCTTCTAAAAGTTTTCAAGTTTTGCCTTCCACATTTAAATTCCAATACATTTTTCCCATAGAGAGTACAAATTATTTCAGTATCAAAAATTGACTGCTCCTCTGTTTCCAACTTAATTGCATCTATACAGCTATTAGTCTGGTTTTAGCCTCTATTCTGTTTCCCTGGGGTAACTTTATTCTGATCAATTGGTAATTCCATTTCAAATAAGTAAAAGCATCTGCCTTCCCAGAAGGAACATTCTTCAAGTTTCCCCTTATTTTTATATTTTTAAATAGCACCAACAGGGAAAAAAGAAAGTGATACAAAAGAAAATGTGATCTTATAGCTGTGGTGGCAGAGAAAACTAAAGCCTTTTGAAAGCAAGCTGGTGGTGCTATCAAAATTCAGGATGCTTTGACTTCTAGGTACCAACTCTACGACAATTTCTGCTCATGTACAAAGAGATATATACTTAAATGTTAACTCCCTGAGTGTGAGGTTTGTGTCTATTTTGTTCACTACTGAATTCCGAGCATATAGAAAAGTGCCTGGCACACAAAGGGGTTTAAAAAATACTTAATAAATGAACAAATGAACAATGATATTCACAGTGGTATTTCCAACAAGAACTGTAAACTAAGGAGAATAGTCTAATAAATGATAAATAAATTATTTTATATCCCTATTAGAGAATACTGAGCTCTCACAAAAATAAACTTATATGAAAAGAACACCTCACGTGGATAGAACTAGAGGGTATTATGCTAAGCGAAATTAGACAAAGACAAATATCATATGACTTCACTCATATGAGGACTTTAAGATACAAAACAGATGAACATAAGGGAAGGGAAACAAAAATAATATAAAAACAGGGAGGGGGGCAAAAACATAAGAAACTCATAAATATGGAGAACAAACAGAGGGTTACTGGAGGGGGGATGGGCTAAATGAGTTAGGGACATTAAGGAATCTACTCCTGAAATCACTGTTGCACTATATGCTAACTAACTTGGATGTAAATTAAAAAAATAAATGAACAACAACAACAAAAAAGAACACTTAGACACATTAACCAAAAAACAAAACAAGCAAGAAATACAAGTTCCAAGATATATGGTGTGATATCATTATGGTATATATGCTATGATTCCATTAACATTTAAAATTAAACTGTATGTATAAATATTTACATGCAAATGTGCAGGTAAAATTCAGAAAAGACAAAAACCAAATGGTTTATGGTGATTTCCTCTGGGAGGAGTGAGCTTGACAACGCTGGTGATAAGGGACCATCATTAAAATATTCTTATAACCCTACTAACTAAAGCAACTACTGTTAAGATTTTGTTATTTCCCACTAATCCATTACTCTGCATCCTTTTTCCCCCTGCAGTTTTATTCCTATTAAACATACAATGTGTCCACATTTTTTCATAAAATATTTTCCCCTTTATTAAAGTTTCTATGAAGTATTTTCTATTACTAATTCATCTCTTTGCCTTTATAACAAAATCATATTGTATATATTCTTCTATGTATGATTTTTTACTATTGGATATTGGACATTTGGATTGTCTACCCATTAGTCACCCTTACTAACAATGATTACAAGGAATACTCTTAAACGTTTAAACTTTTTTTTTCCATATTTATCATTTTCACAGTGCAGATTACTAGACATGGGATTACCTAATTAACAAATATTAAACATTTTAAAGTCTACTGAAAGACGATGACAAATTTCTTTCTAAAAGGATTATTCTAGTAAAACTTTCCTCATGCTGCATCTTAGCTGTTTATTTCTTTTATTAACACCCATCAAAATTTAACATTAATTTCTGTACTTATTTGGCACTGCTTCCCCATGAGGACAGGGAACTTCTGTCTGTTTACCATTGTATCCCCAGTGTCTGGTTAGTCAACAAATATGTAGTACGTGAAATAAACAAACATTGTACTAGAGTATTTCTTTCACAATGAATATATGCTTTATGTAACTCCCCACATTTAAATTTGCACTGTGCCTCAAGAATCTGAATGAATTACTTGACCTGCACACTTAATTGTTTCACTCTAGATTTAATTACTTTTTAAGGTTAAAATAAATTTGTCATGGGACACCTGGATAGCTCAGTCGATTGAACGTCTGACTCTTGATATGGGTGCAGGTCATGATACCAGGGTTGTAAAATAAAGCCCCACATCAGGCTCTGTGCTGAGTGTGGAGCCTGCTTAAGGTTTTCTTTCTTCCTTCCTCCCTCCCTCCCTCCCTCCCTCCCTCCCTTCCTTCCTTCCTTCCTTCCTTCCTTCCTTCCTTCCTTCCTTTCCTCCCTCCCTCCCTCCTTCCCTTTCTTTCTTTCTCTCTCTCTCTCCCCTCTCTTTCTTTCTCTCTCTCCCTCCCTCTCTCTCCCTCCCTCCCTCTCTCTCCCCCCCCCTCTCTCCCCCCTCTCTCTCTGCCCCTCTGCCACCCGCACATGCACACACACATGCTGCCTCTCTCTCAAAATAAACTTAAGGGGCGCCTGGGTGGCGCAGTCGGTTAAGCGTCCGACTTCAGCCAGGTCACGATCTCGCGGTCCGTGAGTTCGAGCCCCGCATCAGGCTCTGGGCTGATGGCTCAGAGCCTGGAGCCTGTTTCCGATTCTGTGTCTCCCTCTCTCTCTGCCCGTCGCCCGTTCATGCTCTGTCTCTCTCTGTCCCAAAAGTAAATAAACGTTTAAAAAAATAAAAAAATAAACTTAAAAAATAATTTCTTATATCTATAAATCTGTATTTCCTATCAAGTCCATGACCTTTCCACTTTTTTAACTGCAAGAGTCTCAACATTTTTAAAATGCATTTTATGAGCTTTTTTCATAGTGGAACTATTAACCTTGTCATTTATTCATCCATCATTAATTTAATTATTAAAATAATACTAATCACATCTCTTCTGTTCTCATCTATGTGAAGATTCTCAGGAAATCACTGCAGTGTTTTATTAACATTTAGCATGTCTCAAATCTTGACAATTTTGGGGGTGCCTGGGTGGCTCAGTCAGTTAAGTGTCTGACTCTTGATTTCAGTCTAAGTTGTGATCTCCTGGTTCATGGGTTTGAGCCCCATGTCAAGCTCTGCACTGACAGCACAGAGCCTGCTGTGAGAGCTTTCGGATTCTCTCTCTTCCTCTCTCTCTGCCCCTCCCTTGCTTGTTCTCTCTCAAAAATAAATAAACTTAAAAAAAAAATTTCGACAATTTTAAGGTAGTCAACACAGTGTCCTTGAAAAAAGGACAGTGAATGAAATTACCTCAATATATATATAAAAACACTCTGCTTGCCAGTCATTTAAAGAATTTCCTACCTCTCCTATTTCCATAAGTGGTTCATTCATATCTACACCACCGTAGCCATACTGAAGGTCAGCTTCTGTCAATTTATTCTTTTTAATAAACTGGGTGTTGAGATACCTGAAAAACAAATATAATATTATTATTAAAGTAAGTAGGAAAACAAATAACTGTTAAAATCAGTAGTAAAACAAATAACTTGCAACTTTAAAACAATAATTTTGGGTTATAAATCAACTATAAAATAGTTTGGTAATATATCAAATTAATTACGCAGAAATTAGAAATATAATTAAAAAGGAACAAAAGTATTAGCCAAACTTTCTCTGCAAGGCCTTAAGAGCCAAAATATATGACCTCTAGAGTGGGGGAAAAAACCCTATCACTCCAGTTTCACTTTAAAAAACTCAAGGGTAGGGGCACCTGGTGGCTCAGTCAGTTAAGCGTCTGACTTTGGCTCATGCCATGATCTCGCAGTTCGTGAGCTCGAGCCCCACATCGAGCCCCACATCGGGGCTCTGTGCTGACAGCTCAGAGCCTGAGGCCTGCTTCAAATTCTGTGACTCCCTCTCTCTCTCTGCCCCTCCCCTGCTCACGTGCGCAGTCTCTCTCTCTCTCTCTCTCTCTCTCTCAAAAATAAACATTAAAAATTTTTTTTTTAAACTCAAGGATTTGGTCTAAAACTTTTCAGTACTCATATAGCCCAATAACTCCTCCCCAAGGGGCTTCTATAATCCTTCTACCATCTAATTAACTCATTCCCAGATTCTCTTGGTAAGTTCACTTTGTAAAGAACTAAACAAAAAAAAATGCTTAAAAAATAAAAATCCAGGTAGTCATTCAACTTATATTTCATCACCAGGAAAAGATGTAATTAAACAACAACAAAAAGAGATCGTGATCAGTAGACAGAAAATGAAATAGACTGTTACAGACAGTAGAAAGTATGGGCAAAACTGACAAAGGTAAAATCACTTTGTCTACCACAGGACAATCGCTTTATAATGTTTCAACATATTCTGAGACAAGTAACTAAGAATTACTGAAATGAATAGAGTTCTTTAAAGTAAATAAAATATGTAGAAAGGGCTCAAAACATTCTAGTACTGGGGTACCTGGGTGGTTCAGTAGGTTGAGCATCCGACTTAGGCTCAGGTCATGATCTCACAGCTCGTGAGTTCGAGCCCTGCGTCAGCCTCTGTGCTGACAGCTCGGAGCCTGGAGCCTGCTTCGGATTCTGTGTCTCCCTCTCTCTGCCCCTAACCCACTCGCATTCTGCCTCTGGCTCTCTCAAAAATAAATAAATATTTAAAAAATTTTTTAAAAGAAACATTCTAGTACTCACTTTTCACAATCCTAGATTTCACTATAATGCCTTTGATACATATATTTTTAACATTTATTTATTTTTGAGAGATAGATACAGCACAAGCAGGGAAGGGACAGAGAGACAGGGAGACACAGAATCTGAAACAGGCTCCAGGCTCTGAGCTGTCAGCACAGAGCCCGAGGTAGGGCCCAAACTCACAAATCGCGAGATAAAGACTTGAGCCAAAGTTGGACTCAACCAACTGAGCCACCCAAGCGCCCCTCACTACAATGCCTTTAATGCTTACTTACCACCTGAAAGGTTGTCATGTGTATATAGTTAAAGACATATAAATACTTAGGCAATAACCACAAAATCTTTATATTAAAACGCACACTTTCTTTTTTTTTTTTAATTTTTTTTTTCAACGTTTATTTATTTTGGGGACAGAGAGAGACAGAGCATGAATGGGGGAGGGGCAGAGAGAGAGGGAGACACAGAATCGGAAACAGGCTCCAGGCTCCGAGCCATTAGCCCAGAGCCTGATGCGGGGCTCGAACTCACGGACCGCGAGATCGTGACCTGGCTGAAGTCGGACGCTTAACCGACTGCGCCACCCAGGCGCCCCTAAAACGCACACTTTCTAATGTTCGTTGCATCAAAATGAAAAGTCCACTTTACATGTGCAGACAACTAAAACTGAAAACAAAGGCAACAAAAATTTCAACTGTGTTATTTTACCACCAACTCTAGGAGATGATGCAAAATACAATTCTTGAAAGTACAACTCCAAAGCTGTATAGATACAACCATGTACACAAGTTGCACTCCCACACTAATTTCAAGCCTCTAGACTCCAAGGCTTAAAACCTTGGTACTCTGTTTGATATTTTAGTCTCCTCTACCCATATGTACAATGTCCTAATATATTTTTCCTGCAAAATGTCATTTCATCCTTCCTTCTATTCTCACTACAATCCTCATAATTTTATGCTGGGTTTTCAACCATGCCTTCCAATTGAAGAAAGGGAAATAGGACTGACAGAGACAGAAGTAAGAGATAGAGAAAGAATGGCTTTTTTTTTTTTTTTTTTAACCTGAAATAGAAGATTTGGGATATCTGGCCTGAAATGAAGATATATAAATTGGAGAGATATTTTAACCTCTGGCCTCTGTCATTCAGGTGTCAGCTCAAACACATTTCTCTCAGGCCTGACCTGATCCCAATCCAAATGAACTTTAATTCGCCACTTCACTCCCACTGAAGTGACTATACACAACTGTTTTATATTCTTCATGGTACTTACTACTGTGTGAAATATTCCAATTCTGTTATTTGTTTACTTGCTTTGTACATCTGTCACCTCTCTAGATTATAACAACTACAAAGCAAGGACCTGGCTCACACACACAGCATCCAGAACCAGTGGCAGGTAAATATGAAGTCCTCAAAAAATATTTCCTTGATGAATTACTGAATAAATAAATGGATAACATTCCAGACAACAGGAACAACAAAAGCTAATATTAGAACAAACTTGGAAAAGCAGCCTGGAGCCGGATCATAAAAGCCATGAATGCCAGGAAATACAAGTAATCACTAACATTTATAGAGCTTATGTTACATGTCAGGCATACCCCTAAGCATTTTATACAGCTGAATACTATCAGGTACATACATGTGGTACTATTATGATCCTCCTTTTATATGTAAGAAAATTGCAGCTTAGAGAGCTTAAGGAACTTGCTAACAGTCAATGTGCTATTAAGTGGAAGAGCTGGCACAGAAACTCTTGAGTTCTCCCTTTCTCATTCAACAAATATTGACTGAGTGTGAACTCTATGTCAGGTACAATGCCAGGCACTAGGGACAGAAAGATGAAAAACAAAAATGTGGTCTTTCCACACAGAGTTTACACATCTGGGAAAATATACAAATATAAACAAATAACAATATTTCAACTGTGACACATGCTCCCTGAGTGGAGGGACTTAATTACCATATCTTTACCATTTCTATGTGCCTTCCTATACGAATCCTTTGCTCCCAACCAGTTTCTTTTTTGGTCTGTGGTACCACCATGGCGATCCCAGTAAAAGATTAGAAACACTTCTCTCTCATCCTTCCATTCTACTCTTTTAATCAGCCAGTCCTCATCTCCTCCTAAACTATTCATTATTCTCTCCCATTACTTTCCTTCTCTCTTCCAATGTCTCTTGTTAATTCTCTGCTTGGATCATGTGCAACACTCTCATGACTGGTCTCTTTTTTCTGTTTTGCCATCTCCAATTCATCTAAAAATTCCACTTTCAGGATGTCACTAACCCATTCAGAATCCTAAGTAGCTCCCTTATACCTATAGAGTAAACTTCTTAGCATAGTGGTTTGTTAACTCTGAAGAACTAGCTGCTAGACCTGCAGAAGTCTGGAATCAACTAATCTGTTTCAACGATCTGTATGTATATTCTTGAGCCAGTATACTGGTTTAGTGGAGCTTTATGTTTCCATTCTGACAGGACAAGTCACTGTTCTCTTTACCTCATGGAATAAAACTTTAACTTCCATTAATTGTAGCTTTCTCATTCCAGATTTCTACTCTTAATGTTAAATTTAAGCTTGACAAGACATGCTTTTAAAATAATTTAAAGATGTAACTTAAAATGTAAATAGTGTAAGTTTTCATTTTGATATGGATACCTTTTTTTTAAGTTTATTTATTTTGAGAGAGAGAGAGAGAGAGAGAACAAGCATACACAAGCAGGGGAGGGGCAGAAAGACAGGAAGAGAGAGAATCCCAAGCAGGCTCCACACTGCCAGCCATGGCCCAAACCCATGAACTGAACCCATGAATCATGAGATCATGACCTGAGCTGAAATCAAGACCTGGACTTTTAGCTTAAAAGACTGAGCCACCCAGGCACCACGACATGGATACAATTCTTAACTTAATATTTTACAGTCAATTTTATTAATGACACATTTGTTTTTAAAGACATATGTTCTAAGAAATTATAAAAGAAAATAGGTCCCAATAATTTCTTAAAGGCAATACCTGATTGTTCTTCTCATGTATGATGCAATAGTTTTTATAACTTTTATGTTTTTATAATTTACTTTACCTACAAAGTGCTTAATAAGTATCCTTCACTTTTCTGGAGTATTAGCACTGACAAAATTAAAAATAGTACTTGCCAATAATGAACAGCCTAAAGTAACTTTGAAGCCTCGGAGAAACCAAGCATTTCAATCTATCATAGGAAATTGCATTACAGAAATTGTTCTCATGCTAATACCTACTGGATTTCAAAAGTCGTTAATACTCCAAGGGCCAGCAGGGTCTAAAGAGCTATGTAGTACTGGGAAAGGCAGGCAGGAGTATCAGCATTTTCCTTATAGTCAGAATCCTTAAATTACCTATATTAATGCATATCCATCTTAGAAATCAATCAGGATAAACAAGAGGGTAGAAATTACTTCATAAAAATATTTAAAAACACTTGAAACAAAATTGAATTCTTCCTTTATATTTCTCTACAAATATATCCTTACAGACTATGATTAAAAATGATAGCTAGCCTGGATAACCTCATTACCCTACAATTAAAAACTATCATTAAGCAGTTTTCATGTAATTACTGCCAACTATATCCTCTATAAAAAGCATCTTACCACCTATTCTACCAATATAATTAAATAAATGATGGTCAGCCACATGATGCCAGCATCACAGAGGTCAAATACAATTCTCTGTATGTGAATCCCATTAGCCATTAGTTCTAAGTCTTTGCTATAGATAGTGGAAAGTTACTACATGATTTTAGAGAGTGATCAAATTTGCATGTTAAAAAAATATGAGTTTAGTAAATAGGATAAATTAGCAATCAAAGGTTGGAAGACTGGTTATAGGGACTTTATCATTAATAGTCCAGGTGAGAAATGATAAAAAGCTTGAACTATAATAGCAATGCAAAGGAAATAATGAATTTAAGAGACATTTGGAGGATGTGACCAATAGAGATCAGGGAGAAAGGACAACCCTAAGCGAAGGAAGGGTAACTGAGACTTTCGGCATTTATGCCTGGGTGCACAGTATTACTACCAATTAAAAATAGTAATACTGGGGACAGTATACTGGGGACAGTATATAAAAGATTACATGCTCAGTTTTGAAATCTGCAATAGTACAATGTACCCACAGAATAACCTGGAGGTATAGGCGGGTTAGGTAAAAATACTCCTCTGAAACCTAAGACCACCTGGGATATACAAATATTTTGGTGGTTAGTAATATGTAAGTTGTAGCTAAAACCAGAAGTAATTGAGATCATCCTAGAAAGAATGCAAAGTATAAGATAAAAGATGAGAAAAAAATCTACCTAAATGACTAAAAGAGTGAATCTAGGATGAGACGAAGGTAGAATGAAGAAGTTGAATGGGTTTAATGTGACCAATCTGGATTGGTATTAGCAAAAATTTTTTTCCACTGAATGACCTTGAGCAAAGTCATTTAACCTCTCTGAGTCTAGTCTCTTCAGCTGTAAATTTGGCAATATCAGCTACCTCACATGGTTTATATACACACACATTTGTGTATATACAATATATATTTAATAAAAGTTCACTAATATTACCAATTTTTATTAATATTACCATTAATTTAAATTACCAAATTAATTAATTTTGGTAAACAGAGATGCAGATATAGGAGAACCTAGAAATCTAAGAAAAAATAGAAAAACAACTTAAATCTTTACCACAATGTCTCAGCTCAAGAGGTATCCCACTGCACACAGCATACTGCACTGGCATATAGTCTTAAATACTCTCTCATGTTATCTGTATACCAGTGGCCCAAGCTTCTCAGCAACAGCAAAGCATGCATGTGCTCTCACTTTCATCCTCAAAATTCCTGTAATTCTCCTAATTTAGCTAGGGAATTCTTAAAGTTCTATTTATGCCTATCTCACTTTGGTGGATGAGGAAAAAAAAAAAAAACATGAAATGTCAAGATGTTTAATGTATGGCAAACACTGTTTATAAAAGCCAAAGCCACAGTAAATCTTGTGCCTGTCAGCAATTGCTGGCTTCTGATTTTATTACACTTGGCTCTTCTAAGAAGATATAAAAGCTAATGGCTGTTGAAATAAGTTCCAGTTTCCAACAGAAGCAACTTACAGTGAGTAAACTCCAGTGTTGTTATAAAAACCTACAGGAATATGAACCAGTGACAAAGGACAAACACGCGAAGCAAGAGAACCAAGCCCTGGCCTCAGTGTGCTACTCCAGCAATGCAGAGTGTAACTGTACAGATGATGTTTTGAGAATCAGCTTCACTCCTCGGCTTCTCCCCAATGAAAAACTAAGGCAGGGGTCCATCTCAGCCCATGCCACAATGCAGATGCCAAAATTATCACTGCCTCATCAGAGGCCACAACAATTTCAAGAGCAGACACCCTAATTCCAAGGGTGAAAGGCCTAGGTTACTTAACGCCACTATTCCTTATTTATCCAACATTCTTCAATAAATAGGTCTCTGCTTCATGTACCCAGAAATTTATTTCCATTGTCTATGTGAATAGGTTAGAGAGGATCAGTGTGGACTACCATAGGAACATGAAGGAATGACAGTTAACACAAAAGATCTACGCAGGAAACTAGGTAGAGCAAGGACAAGGGAAGTTCAGAGAGGAGAATGTGGAAAAATATATCAGGATTACTCATTCAGAGGGGCGCCTAGGTGGTTCAGTCAGTTAAGTGTCTGAATTCAGTTCAGGTCATGATCTCACAGTTTCTGAGTTCCAGCCCTGTGTCAGGTTCTGTGCTGACAGCTTGGAGCCTAGAGCCTGCATATGATTCTGTCTCCTTCTCTCTCTCTGCCCCTTCAGTGCTCGCACTCTCTCTCTCAAAAAGAAATAAACATTAAAAAAAAAAAAAAAAGAATTAGTTCTAGAAAAGACTGGCTTCTAGAAAAGCCATCTAGATAGATATGACAGCATCAAGAAAGACAAAAATGTGGGAGACCATAGGGCATTAACACACTGTAGGTAATTCAATATGCCTATAGGATAGGGTAGAACTTCAAGAGAAAAACTGCTGAGTGCTTTGACAAAGAAGTGTTTCCACAAAACATAAAATACTGAATCCTAGAGTCCAAAAAGAGCATACTGGCAGGGAACACAGGCTTGGATTTACTCTGCTAAGCTTCATCCAAGCTGAAGTTCCACTTTGGAACTCTTGTCAAGATTTAGCACACAGAACTACAGAATTAAATACAGTTTTAGTTTTCAGAGAATAACTTTCCACACACTGCCTGGCTCCCATATTCCTCCATGACCCAGACTACATTTTCCCCATAGCAGACACAGTCCATATAGCAGGGAACACTTTAGCTCTGTTTATTTCTATGGGTAAGAGGTGATTCAAAAACCAAAAACCAAAACTCCTTCAATTACTGAATGCAGGCAATACTATTTATAGATTGTCAAGAGTTTCAAGGCATACTTACCTATACAAGCAGTCCATATAGTCTGCACCTTTGCTATACTCCTCCCAATACCTATGATACATAACAAGTACTTGCTCTTCAGACTCCAGAACTCTCTATATAAAGAAGAAATATACTTTTACTTGGAAAGCACTAATTATTTTCATTTGTAAGGTATGAAATTTATCAAAAATTAATGTTCTAAAATGACATAATTCTATTGTAAATTACATTTACAAATTACATTCTAATTTAACTACTTTTAAGAACACTGAAATGACCAGAAAAAAATGTGCCTTAGATATGAAAATAAAGCATCCATACTAAAGAGTAAACTGTTTCACTCTCTAAAAGGACAAAATGTAATGGTGTGAAGTTGTCTTCGGGCTAGAATATTTTATTAAGATCAGTTTATTTTTTTTTATTTTTTATTTAAAAAAATTTTTTTAATGTTTATTTATTTTTGACAGAGAGAGCATGAGGGGCAGAGAGAGAGGGGGAGACAGAGCATGCATAAGGGGCAGAGAGAGAGGGAGACACAGAATCAGAAGCGGGCTCCAGGCTCTGAGCTGTCAGCACAGAGCCCGACACGGGGCTCAAACTCACAGACTGCGAGATCATGACTTGAGCCAAAGTCAGATGCTCAACAGACTGAGCCACCCAGGTGCCCCTAAGATCAGTTTAAAGTAGGATGTAATTCTACTGCCATGTATCTGTGTACTTCCTCAAATCCCTCACTTTTGATCATCCTGCTTAAGCATATTATCACTCTGAATTATTCACTTATGTAAATGACTATTTATGAAAATTAACACCTTTTCTATATTCCCCAAATAAGATGTTTTATATTTACTTAGTAGAAATCTATTATTTTTTGAAAAATGAAAATGAAACATTTAGTGTGAGGTCTAATTTTTAAAATAAATCTATTCTAACAGTAAAACTACACTGAAATGATGTTCAAAAGATCTTAGGTTCTTTTATCTCAGTTCTTTTATTAACTGTCCATATGACTTTAAGTAAGTCGACCTCAATTTCCATCTAATTAATTCTCTAATAAAATGCTATGCTTTTAAACTTGGGATTTTAATAATTAAGGCTCAAGAGACAGAATAACCTATAAATAGTATTTTTTGCCTATCATATTAATAAATTAATTAAAAACAGCAACAGCTATTAATAATGCTAGAGAAAAGAGCACCCATAGGAACTGATACTACTGGCTGAATAAATATAAGAACAATTTGTTACTGTAGGTCAAAACAATAAAAAATGTTCATGACCTATGACTCAATAATTCTATGTCTAGGAATTCATCCTATAAAAAACTCAGCCGCACAAAAATATTTAGCTACAAGGATATTCACAGAAGCACTGTTTATAAAAAAAATTACACAAATTGGAAATAATCCATATGCCCAGCAGTATGAGAATATTTAAACAAATCACAGTACCTCCACACAATGAAAACTTTTACATCATTGCCAGGATTATAAAAGTTTATTTAATGACAAGAAAGAGACTTACGTTATTATTAAAATCGAAAAGCAGATTATAGCTAAGCGAAATTAGTCAGAGAAAGACAAATACATATGACTTCACTTGTATGAGGACTTTAAGATACAAAACAGATGAACATAAGACAAGAAAAGCAAAAATAATATAAAAACAGACAGGGGGACAAAACATACGAGACTCTTAAATATAGAGAACAAACAGGGTTGCTGGAGGTGTTGTGGGAGGGGACATGGGCTAAATGGGTAAGGGGCACTAAGGAATCTACTCCTGAAATCACTGTTGTGAATCTACTCCTGAAATCATATGTTAACTAACTTGGATGTAAATTAAAAACTAAATAAATTATTAGGAAAAAACCTGTATATGATTCAGTTTTCCAATAAAAAAATAAAGTAAAAGTATGCAAAAGACAAATATCAAGTTATATATATATATATATATATATATATATATATATATATATATATACATATTAATATATGCCAAAATAGATGTAGTTAATTCTGGAGGCATGAGTGATGTTTGGGTGATGATTTTCCTGTTTTTGCTTACCAGAATGTTCTAAATTATCTAAAACGGCAATGTAATGCTTTAGTAATTTAAAAAGTTCCCTCCCCCAACAAATCAAATTTTCTTCTCACAGGTAAAACTGCTTCTAATCTGTTGATTATGTTAATAATTTACTTTGTCATCAATAAATTAGCCAACTTCTTTTTTGTCACAGAATCTGAGAAAACATATGGTGCATAATTATATAAGTAATCTAAACTTTCCTAAAACTATTTCACAGTATCATTTTTAAATGCAATTATATCACTATTAATTTTGAAGTTTTTTTTAATGTTTATTTATTTATTTTGAAAGAGAAAGCAGGGGAGGGGCAGAGAGAGAGGGAGAGAGAATCTCAAGGAAGCTCTGTGCTGACAGCCCCATTCAGGGCTCGATCCCATGAACAGTGAGATCATGACCTGGGCCGAAACCAAGAGTCGGATGCTTAAACAAGTGAGCCACCCAGGTGCCCCTCCTAGCTTTAATAATTGTACCACTGCTATGCAAGACGTTAACCTTAAGAAAACTGGTAAAAAGGATACATGAATTCTGTATTATTTTTGCAACTTTTCTGTAAGTCTGAAAAGTATTTCAAAATAAAACATTTAAAGAAATGCAAACTATGCTAATACATAAAAGTACAAAATTGATAAATGGCTCACACAGGTAACAATCACGGTATAACCAAAGTTCACTACATTATCATAGCAGAACTTCAAAACTTCACATACTAAACATTTTAAGAATAATTTAAAGTATGTTATTAAAATTGCTTTTATCAACTAACAAATGTACATATTAGAACACTAAAATGTATCTGCCATATATAATAAAAAGTAGAGCATTACCTTTAAAGGTTTTAAGGGAAACATCAAACAATCAATTATTCTCTGGGGTTATCACCACTTTAAAACATAACTGCACCTAGCCACACCCAAGGTCAGACACCTTATTATATAGTGTTGTTTTATCTCCATTTTAAAGATAAAGAAATGGGGCACCTAGGTGGTTCAGTTAGTTAAGCATCAAACTCTTGATATTGGCTCAGGTCATGATCTCATGGTTTGTGAGACTGAGCTCTGAGTTGGGGTCTACGCTGACAGCTTGGAGCTGCTTAGGATTCTCTGTCTCTGCCCCTCCCCATGCTCACATGCTCTCTCTCCCTCTCTCTCTCAAAATAAACTTTAAAGAGAAAAAAAACAAAGACATTTCAATCCACAAGGTAGATTAAGTGAGTTGCCCATGGTCACATGGCTAATAAAAGGTAAAGTCCAGTTGGGGCTATAGCCCCAACATGGAAATTCTTTTGTTCATACAAAGATCAAATCTGTGATGTTGCCCTTGTACATATGACATTACTAACTAAAGTAACTGGTCACAAGGACAGTCTCTATCATGCTTTTTAATTTATCATTTCCCTTTTTAGTTTTAGGCTTTTGTAAGACTTTATGTAGGATATGAAGAGGCAGCTAAAAGGTTGAAAATAATAGAGATTTACCAAGAGGTGGGAAGAATAAGAGAAAATTTGATTCTAGTAAACACCATCCAGAGGACATAGAAGCAAATTTTAAAGTTTAGCAAACCTTGATTTGAAACCCCACTCTTTCAGTTACTAATTATACAATCTTGAATAACTAAACCTGATATCCTTTGGAGAATCTAACAACATAATGCTTAACTCATAGATCTTAAATATATATAATCAGAAAAATGTTATTTAGAAAACAAAGCAAATAACCTTAATCTGATATAAATTCTGCACTGGAAAAAAGTAAACTAGTCAAGTGACTACCCAGCTACAAACATATTTATATCATGTATGTATCACTCCTTACCTTGTGCAAATGCCGTACGTGATTTTCCAAAAAAATCTTAGTTTCTGTATAAAGTCTTTCTCCAAGGGGTTCAGGATAGGCCACACATAAAGCATAGATATCTCTAATTAAGTTGTTAAGGTTTGCATATTCATTAGAGATATTATTTTAAAACAAAAGATTTAACTCAAGTTTGCCATTAAAAAGTGAAATATTTCGGGGCGCCTGGGTGGTGCAGTCGGTTAAGCGTCCGGCTTCAGCCGGGTCACGATCTCGCGGTCCGTGAGTTCGAGCCCCGCATCAGGCTCTGGGCTGATGGCTCAGAGCCTGGAGCCTGTTTCCGATTCTATGTCTCCCTCTCTCTGCCCCTCCCCTGTTCATGCTCTGTCTCTCTCTGTCCCAAAAATAAATAAACGTTGAAAAAAAAAATTAAAAAAAAAAAAGTGAAATATTTCAAGCAATTTAGGATTCTACAGATATAGAAAGAGTAAAATACATAGCCATGCTTACTTTAAAAAGCACTGAAAGAGTTATTCATTTACTCATTTGACAAATATTTCTTGAGAATTATTAGACAGCATTGTAAGGAAAATGGTTCTTCTCTAAGAGGTTAAAATTCAGAGTGGGTTCTGGGAAATCAAGTTACCCAGAAACCTACAAAATAAAGTTTATGTAAGAATGGACATAAGCATAATATCAACAAAAGGCTATAGAATATCATAAGAAGTAGATATGTATAAGCAATTCTGAGAAACAAAAGTTACAAAAATTACTAATGTGACACATTTTCCTACATCATAGTACTCATCAAAATACACTGCAACCAATACACTACCCTTCAGCATTTATTCCATTAGAAGAATTGTAATATGAATAGTAATATCAATTAATCAATTAAGTTTTTGAATACCAACTAAGTACCCTGCTAGGTATCACAAATGGTAGATATATACTGTAGCAGAGTTTTTAATCTGAGACAGAGGAAATGGGATCTGAATGAGACTTTAGCTCTACTAGCCAGTGATCTTGACCAAGTCTCTTAACCTTTCTGCATTGTCATTTCCTCTTCTCTAAGGTAAGGGTAACAAACTGTCTCTTGATATCTCTTACAGAATCTTTGTAAAAACCAAATAAACTCATCAATGTTAACATGCTTCATAAACTGCATTACTGACCAGACGTTTAAGATAAAGAACACATGAAGCAATCTGGGAACAGCCTAACTGGAGATCCAGATAAAAACTGAAAATAAGGTTAATTATTTGGGATGGAGTCAATTATTTAATATGCTTTTCTTATATTATAAGTACAATTAATATACTTAAAATAAGGATCAGGAAATATGGCAAAATAAAAATTTGTACTTAAAAATATAGAGGTAGAGGGGCACCTGGCTGTGACTCTTGATCTCAGGGTTGTGAGTTCAAGCCCCACATTGTGTGGGGCTTAAAAAAAATTTCCATTATTAAAAAATACAGAGGTAGGATGCAGGTTCTTCCTCTTCTATAGCCCCATAACATTTTACATATTCTTCTTCTACAGAATTCATTTTTATATAATAGAAATTATTTATACCTTTTCCATCCACACTAGCCTGTTCTTAATTATCTCTGTATTCCCAGCCTCAAGGCACAATTCCTGGCACATTATAGGCATTTATTAAACACTTGGTGATGGAAGGAAGATAGGGAATCAGTATCACATGCTCTGCCTATTTACCTAGTAGCCTTACTCTAGAAAGAATAAGCAGCCCTCTCCACATGAGGTCACTGACAGGTAGACTTTGGTCAGACTTTCCCAGGTTCCTTCTAAATCTTTTTATTTTTAATTACAATTAGTAATTGATAAAATATTTTCATGTATATATGTACATATTTCTTCGGTATACTATTATACTAAACATAAACAAAAAACGTTTACAGCAAAAAAGAGAAGCAAAAATATCCATATAGTGCAATACTGCTGTGCCAGATTTTTTTGTAGAAAAAAGTACAGTATGAAACAAACTATTACAATTTTATTTTTTATTTTTGTTTTAATGTTTATTTATTTTTGAGAGAGAAGGGAGAGAGTGTGAGCAGGAGGCACAGAGCCCCATGTGGGGCTTGAACTCATGAACCATGAGATCATGACCTGAGCTAAAGTCAAAACTTAACCAACTCAGCCACCCAGGCACCCCTTACGATTATTTTAAATCAACTTAGATACAATGAAAATTTAAAAAATAGAAGATTAAATATAATAGCATAAAAGAACTACTTACCAACAGCAACATAAATATATTAACCTATATTACAAAAAAAGTAGAAATTTTAACATGCATCGCCTAAGAATTTAGAAATTTATTTCTATAGAAATTTATTTCTATATATAGAAATTTATATCTCAATTTGTAAAAATTTAGAAATTTTACAGAAAACTGATAATAGTGTGGGGAGAGAAGAAGAAGAAAGGTATAAATACAGAAGAAAGGTGCCCTAAAATAATGTATTAGATAAGCTCCTGGATCCAGCTTGGAGCCCTCTAGGTTTGTTATAAATTCCGTGGGGAAAAAAAGAAGTCCCAGTTCACTACATAATTTAAATCTCTAATAGTTTTGTGTTTTTTTACCATAGAGATTTATATTCAATCTCAATTAGTTATCTCAATCTTACCCTAGTAAAATCAGATATAAAAGTGTTGTCAGAATTAAACGTATTAGAAGTGAGGAGAGGGGCGCCTGGGCGGCTCAGTCAGTTAAGTGTCCGACTTCAGCTCAGGTCATGATCTCATGGTTTGTGGGTTTGAGCCCCACATGGGGCTCTGTGCTGACAGCTTGGAGCTTGGAGCTTGGAGCTTGGAGCCTGGAGCCCGGAGCCTGGAGCCTGGAGCCTGCTTTGGGTTCTATGCCTCCCTCTCTCTGCCCCTCCCCCACTTGTGCTCTGTCTCTCTCTAGGTCTCTCAAAAATAAATAAATGTAAAAAAAAAAATTAAAAAAAAAAAAAAGAAGTGAGGAGAGTGGTTACCTCTAGTGACTGAGGGGGTAAGAAAGTGGGATGCTAGGAGTGTTCTATTTATTGGGTCCATGGGTATGTTTATGTTATGAAAATTCACCTGTACATTAATGAGTCAGTGTATACTACACTTAAATTTAAATTTAATTTTTTAAAAAAGACTAAATTTAGCCAGGATCCAGATCAACAATTCTTTTAGCAGAGATATGGTATATTTAAGATCTTTTAAGTTCTGAATACCTACTTCAAGAAATTTCATCCATATTTGCTCTCTTCTTCCTGAAGCCATATATACACTTAATTCTAGAATACACAACTTACTTGATACTGAAAAATTAACATGATTCAATACCTTAATTTCATCATGATATGCTAATTATGTGCCCAAATGGTTTCTATCACCAAAATTAGTATCTCAATTTATCCACCACACGTACATGTAAACAAAATTGATTAAAAGGACTTTCCACTTAGGGTAAAAGGATCTGTGCAGGGCAGGAAATACATGGAAACTATTTCAACCCATATACAGGACTTATATACTGTTTGACATCTTCAGTGAGAATGTACTTTTGCATTTTTCTTTTTTTTTTTATGGTATCTCTGTGCTTTTTGGGTTTGTACTTTTTTTTAATTTTTAAATGTTTATTTATTTTTAAGAGGGAAAGACAGAGCTTGAGTGATGGAGGGGCAGAGAGAGGGAGACACAGAATCTGAAGCAGGCTCCAGCCTCCAAGCTGTCACCACAGAGCCCAATGTGGGGCTCAAACCCACAAACCACAAGATCATGACCTGAGCTGAAGTTGGATGCTTAACTGAGCCACCCAGGTAATCCCTACTCTTGTATTTCTTTTTAATGGCGTCCACCTTGATAAATCTTTTAATTGGTTATCTCATCATAGTTTGGGGTCTCAGTTAACCACTGTATCATGTCACTTAACTGTCTAAAATATATTCCTAAATGTTATTTTTCTCTAACCTACTGAAATATCTAACCACCCTGAAAATGTTTAGGCCTTAGGAAGAGCACCCAACTCTCTACCATTCAATTGTGATTTCGTTATAGACAAGGCACTTTTAAAAGACAAAAAAAATGGGAAATAACTGGAGGTCAGATTTAAACATTGTCATTTCCAAAGTTTTTTTCCTCAAGTTACTCTTTAGTAATCCAGGATATAAAAATCCCCTCTATTATGAACTTTCCAGTTATAAATTCACACAGTCAAAAAACAAAACTGTAGGGGTGCCTGGGTGACTCGGTCAGTTACGTATCTGACTCCTTTTTTTTTTTTTTAAATCTTTGAGAGAGAGAGAAAGATAGATAGAGAGAGAGAGAGAGAGAGAGAGAGAACAAGAGTGGGGAAGGGCAGAGATAGACAGGGAGACAGAGAATCCCAAGCAGGCTCCATGCTGTCAGTGCAGAGCCGGACTTGGGGCTTGAACCCACCAACTGCAAGATTCCAACCTGAGCCAAAATCAAGAGTCAGTCGGCTTCTGACTCTTGATACTGCCTCAGTCGTGATTTCACAGGTGAGATCAAGCCCTGGGAAGGTCTCTGCAATGACCATGCAGCCTGCCTGGGCTTCTCTCTGCCTCTCTCTCAGCCCCTCCCCAGTTCAAATGTGTGCATATGCGTGCGCATACTCTCTCTCAAATAAATAAACATTAAATTTTTTTTTAAAAAAAGCACACAACTGTTCCAGAGGAAAAGTTCTGAACCCTGCTACAACCAAAAGACAGTGCTGACCAGCAGCAAAACTATTTTAGTTCATTTTCTCTATTAAAAGGTGCTTCCTATGCTTGGGTTTAATTTTGAATTTTAACACTATTAATTCTGTTGTGCCGTGGGTCAAAAACAATGAGTTCTACAATGGGAATGAAAGTAAAGATCATCCAAAGCAGCAAGACACACACCATCAACCATTTTCTAAGAAAGAAGGAACACTGTATTATTACTTTTGGGGTCTTGACACTGGGCTGCAAAATCCACCTTCCTTTCCTCTGCCTCTCCTTCCCCTCAACTATCACTATCCCTGTCTTGTCTTTTCCTGTCTGGGCTCTTGCCTCCGCTTCCCCCGCCCCACGGCCCTCATCCTGTGTGTCCTGGTCCTGCTGAGGCCCACTGCAGGTGACTCTCATGAGAGACAAGAAAAAGAGGGGCACCTGGCTAGCTCATTTGGTGGACCATGCAACTCTTGATCTTGGGGTTGTGAGTTCAAGCCCTATGTTGGGTATAGAGATTACTGAAAAATAAAATCTTTAAAAAAAAAAATGAAATGACAGAACACCTGGGTGGCTTAGTTGGTTATGCATCCTACTCTTGGTTTTGGTTCAGGTCATGATCTCACAGTTCATGGGTTTGAGCCCAGCTACTAGCATGGAGCCTGCTTGGGAATTTTCTCTCCCACTCTCTCTGCCCAACCCCTGTTCACTCTGTCTCTGTCTCAAAATAAACAAACATAAAAAAAAAAAAAATTAGAAAGAAGAAAAAGGGAAAAAAGTGAAGACAGAAAACCAAACCCTGGTGAAAAAAATAGTTACAGAGAGGGAGGGAGGCAAACCATAAGTGACTCTTAAATACAGAGAACAAACTGAGGGTTGATGGGGGGGGGGGGGCGGGCGGGAGGGAAAGGGGAAAATAGGTGATGGGCACTGAGGAGGACACTTGCTGGGATGAGCACTGGGTGTTGCATGTAAGTGATGAATCATGGGAATCTACCCCCAAAACCAAAAGCGCACTGTATACACTCTGTTAGCCAACTTGACAATAAATTATATTTTAAAAAAAGAAAAGAAAAAAAGAAAACCAAGCCCAAGGAAGAGAAGTACAATGGGTTCTCATTATGAAGATATAGCTTGCAGATTTGTACAGATGTGCTTTAAGTTATTTATACTACATATAATAGGAAACAAACTTTAAACAGTGCTGGTTTAGTTTTTTTTTTAAAAAAAAGGTAAAGATGATCTGAAAATTGAAAATGGTACAATGACCAAAACAGTAGTGGCAATAAAAGATAAAGATCTTCTTTATTGACATTTCTGAAGAGGAAGAAAAAACACACAACATGTAAAAGATGCAGTATCTATGAAATCATCTACTAGCAAGCATGGATATAAAATTATTGGTTAAATGGAAAAATTTTAAGTGTAACTACAGAATCACAATAACTGAATTACTCTGATTTAATCTGGAATAGAGTGAAAATGTTATTGATGCTTCAAGCAGAGACAACTACAGATAAAACATTTTCCAATCTGTACCATCTAAGAATGATGGGCTACTAAGTGCCAAGGTTAGTAAGAAGTTCTCCTAAAATTTTTGTCAGGATGGTCAAGGATGGAGACGACCTACTTCAATATTTTTCAATGTAGTCAAACCTGGTCTGTATTGGAAAACATGCCTGACAGAATATATATTAGAGGGGGCGCTTGATTGGCTTAGTCAGTTAAGCATCCGACTTCGGCTCAGGTCATGATCTCATGGTTCGTGAGTTTGAGCCCCACATCAGGCTCTGTGATGACAGCTCAGAGCCTAGAGCCTGCTCCAGGTTCTGTGTCTCCCTCTCTCTCTGCCTTTCCCTGGTTGTGCGCTCTCTCTCTCTCAAAAATGAATATTAAAAAAAATTTTTAAAAAAGAGTATAAGGGGACTTGAGCATTTTACCTCCGCATTCTATCCTACAGTATCAGTAAAGCATCTTATCACATCAGTAAGCCACAACATTCTCAACTGTAAAATGGGGCTAGTAATGCATATTTCACAATGTCACTGGTAACAAATTAATTCCATACATATACATGTTGAAAGAAAAAATTACGACACACAAAAAAAATGTACCACAGTATGATTCCATTTATATATATAAAGTTCCAAACACAGAAATAACCAATAATTGTTAGGGCTGTATATATAAGCAGTTATACTATTAACAAACAACAACAACAAGGAAACAACAGTTGCAAAACTCAGAATAGTAGTTACTTCCAAGGTAAAGGAGTGGAATCGTGAACTGAGACAGACCTGTAAGTTGGGGGGAGAACTGGATTCTGGCAGTGTTCTAGTTCTTAACCTGTGCAGTTATTATGTGGGTGTTTGCTTTATAATTATCTGTTCAATCCCACATGTACATCTTAGGAATTTTTTAACATATGTACCAGTTAACCCTTGAACAACATGCGAGTGAGGCCCACCAAGCTACTCAGAAAAAAAAAAACACATATAAATTTTCATTTCCCCAAAACTAAGCTAATACCCTACTGCTGACTTTGCCTCAAGTGAAACATAAACAGTTGGTTAACACATATACTGTATTTTGTATGTATTAGATACTGTATTCTTACATAAAGTAAGCTAAAGAAAAGACAATCTTATTAAAATTGCCAAGAAGAGAAAATACATTTACAATACTATACTGTATTTATTTAAAAAAAGAAATTTATAAGTGGATACACAGAGTCCAAACTTGTGCTCTTCAAGGGTCAACTGCTTCAGATTCTGTGTCTCCCTCTCTCTGCCCCTCCCCCGCTCATTCTCTCTCTCTCTCTCTCTCTCTCTCTCTCTCTCTCTCCCTCAAAAAAATAAACATTAAAAAAAATTTTTTTTTAAATCACGTACTATCACACATAGTGATAACACAAGTTGGGGGAGGCTTTCCATTTTCAAAAGATTAAAGTTTTACAGCCTCTAAGATTTATACCTAAGAAATCTGAGGGTCAGAAGTCACCTTATATTCTTAAGCAAAAATAATAGGGAAAAGGTGAGAATTTTACTTCAAAACAATTAGTAACACAGTCCTTATTTTCCAAAATAAAATTTAAAGTAAGAAATTCCATTCTTAACTTTACCATTTCTGCAGCTTTCTGTAAAGGGAGAAGAAAATTCACACACAGGTCAAGAATAACTGGATGAATCACACAATAAACATCTTAGAAATAATAATGACTGGACGGGCACTTTCCAGAGAAGTTGGGTATTTCTAAGACCAACTCCCTTCTCTGTTTATTATTTTAGTTGAAATAGCCCTAAAACTACCTATGTACTCATCTAATGAAATCTCATTAACACCCAAGTGGCCTTTAACACTTGTTCCATTTTATTAAGATCCTACGCAAAAAAGAAAAAAAAAAGATTCCCACCCAAAACCAATCCATGATGTTCTACGAAAAAATTAATTCAATAGTAAGTTCTTCAAAGGCAGAATCTATATCAATTATCCTCTAGATACACTGGCAAGCATAGGAATTAGATGCTGAAAATCTCATATTCAAGTCTGTGCTCATTCAATTACTACCTGCATGAGTCTGGGCAAGTCCTTTAATCTCTGAATATCAATTTCCTCATCTGTTACATAAAGACAATAATTATATCCGCCCCACAATCTGACAGTCTTGTTTGAGGTACCAAGTAATATAAAAACATCTTTGCAAACTATGAAAGCTCCCAGGAACATTACCATCATTTTATTTATCTTAGTGCCTAGAACATAGGTAGCCTAACAAATGTTTCTTACTAACGACTACAACTGTAATGAAAGAAATGGTTTGCTACTGGTCTAAAAGAACTTCGCTGTTCTTGTATCAATATTCAGCTTAATATAAAAACTGAGTTAGGCACTGAGAACAAGTTGAATCACTGTTATAAAATCCAAGCTTTTCTAAAGAATGTATGCCTACATAGAGAGGGTAGCCACCCCTCAGACCCAGAAGACAGCTAGAGAGGGCAGCATAGAGTTTGAGAACTCTGAACCTCCACACACATTCTGGTTAATACCTTCACATTTCAATTTCCCTTTCTGGGGAAAGAATCTGGTTTTTACAGTATCCACCCAGTCGTCAAGGCCTCCTTCAGGGCCCTGGGTTACTGCCATGCCATTTGGACCCAGAGACAACCAGATCTCAACCCGATCCCTTTTCTTTACCCTGAGACATGACATGTGTGGGGTTTCCTATGATAAAAGACTGAAGCAGTTCAGGAGTCTGACAGTAAATATGTTCCAAAGTACGTATGTTGCCCCCATGCTCACCCAGCCTTGGGCCCTGGAAGACACTGCGTATAGTTGGTGAGACTGCCATCCACAACTTTGCCCCAGATACCTGTGGCCAAGGGTTCCTAGAGACCCCTTAAACCTTCCAAATACCAAGAAGCTGCAGTATTTTAATATTTTAGAGTTTTTTCTTGGTGCCAGAGTTTATACCCCAAGTGCTGAGGTAGAATAGTAATTTTATATATATTTGTAAGTAATATATATTATGTATATATTTTTAAAAAGAAAAAAAGATAGCTGTCATGTAGCAATGCAGAACATCAGGGTTCAGATTGTTCTAGGGAAACCACAAATTTGTATTTTCATATAAAACTGGTAATTCATAAATGTAAACAAACCAATTAAGAAACATATTTCTAACTGTCAAGTCATCAAACTTGCCATTCACTACCTAGAACACTCTTCTCCCAGGTATCTGTATGACTTGCTCCCTCACTTTAGTCTAGTTCAAATATCACTATCCTCAGAGAGGCCTTCCAAGACTATCCCATCTAAAAGAGCTGCCATACTCTAATCATTCTCCATGGCCTTACCCTGCTTGATTTTTCTCCACAATATTTATTACTACCTGTTAGTAGAAGCACTGGCATTAGATTATTTTAATACCTGTTTATTGTCTGTTTCCCTTAGTAGAGTGAAGGGAAAGTGGTTTGTGTCTTACAACTGTGTTCCCAAAGTCTCAAGCATACCTGCCATATACATAAGTGCTCAATAAGTATTTGTTAAATGAAATGTTATCAGAATGCTGACTGCCACATACAGGTGATGAACTTAGAAATGTAAACAATACATTTGAAAGTAGTCACAAAAGCATAAACCTGTTCTCACTTTTCAACAAGTTTGTCAATTTTAGGACATTTATCAACGTTCACTGATACAGTTATTGATACAATATCACTATCAATACAAGAACATTTATCAATGCCACTAAAGGATACGAGAAGCGATCGTTCCATGTTGCTCTTTCAACGTATTCCAACATGACAACAGCTTTGATTGTCGTTAAAAGTTTGTTCCATGTCTCATCAAAATCTACTACTCTTGGTTTCAAAGACATTGTGCAAGTTTAGTGTTGAAATCTGTTAATTAAAAACAATAGTAATGTTAGCATGAATTCTACAGACAAGTTAATTGTTTTCAAAGCATCGCATAATTCAAGAGCATGATAGACAAAAGGGATGAGAACCTAGCACATAGTAAAAAGACAATAAACACTGGCTACTATCTTTTCATGACTACCCAGATGAGGAATTACGTAGAATATTTACATTCATTACAAACTCTGGGAAATGGAAAGCTTTTACTACAAACTGTTTATGACCAAGAATGTTGTTCCGAAGATTTAGAAGCCTCACTTAATGTGTTGAGGAAAAAAAGGCCGGACTGTATTAGCCGAAACGCCAACTCCTCATGAGAAACTCATCATGAGAAATATGCAAGAGACACTTAATAAAAAGGTTTTGGCTCTAAATCCTCGTATGTGCTTCTTAAACTGGGGAATGAGGTAGTATGTGGGGGAATATGAGAAGACACAAGAAAGTAAAAGGGTTTATTTTCCCAGAGCACTAGTTTAGGCAAAAAATTAGGGGAGGAAATTTCCATTTCTATCAAAACAAATGAATTGTAGAGTAGAACGCAAAATTTACATGAACTTAAAGATTTTTCAAAAAATGTATAGATTTCAAAGACTAGCAGGGCCGCAGCAGAGAGCTGAGGCTCCATCTTAGACTCTCGGAGTATCCAGTCCAATTCTCCTAATGAAAGCACAGCTCTAGCATGGAACCTCTGGTTCAGGTGACCCTGACCTGCCTAGCAGCAAGCTAAAAGATTCCTTTTGCCTCCGAGACAAGCTATACTCTACAAGTTAGCTGGTTTCTGTAACAGAAGGATCCTAAGGGTAGCTGGCTCAAGTGGTAGATTCCAAACGCTTCTCAATATCACATCAGAAAAACAGAATTAAAAGAGACCTCTTTTAAAGTTAAATTTAATTGCTGAAGGGAATACTTTTCTGACACGTGTTTTAACACACTCCCTAAAGTTTTCCATTATGACTGGAACTGTGAACACCAAGCTAGTCTGTAGGCGAGGGCCAACTAAGGAGGAAACCCTTTCTCTTATCTCCCACTGTAGGAGTAGGAAATCAATGGGGAGGAGGGGAAGAAGCATAAAGAAAAGGAAGAGAAGACAAGGGGAGGAAAGTAGGTACACAACCGGAGATGGCCCTAAGCCCTTCTTACACTTGTTCTGAGAAGAATCCAAGGAGTCCAAGAGACTTCGAGGAAGAGAAAGAAAAGGAATCAGTAAGAAACCAAACAAAATTCAAGAGGATATGTCACACTGAATCAACATACCAAAGACTAACCACTGGGCTTTATTTAAACTTCTGGTACTAACCAGAATGGATAAACAGTAATCTGTGAGAGTGAGAGGGAGGGAGGGAGTGTGTGTGTGTGTGTGTGTGTGTGTGTGTGTGTGTGTGTGTGTGTGTGTGCTGGGAAGGGGTAGGGGAGAAATGGGAGGGCGGGGAGAACCTAAATCTCTAGCTTTACATCAGGGAATTAACCTTAACTCCTTGCCACTCTTATTTACCACATCCTATCCGACTGTGTTCCTGAATATTTCTTAAATCCATCCATTCCTGTGTAACCCTATAAATGCTCTGGGATCAGAGCCTTACCAACTCTAGTTTGTATTAAAATCTCATTCACCAAATAAATAATAACTTAATATTTATATGGTACTTACTATGAGCCAAACACTACTCCAAGTGGTTTACATAAACTCATTCAATTCTCCGAATCATCTGATTAGGTAGGTCCAACTCTTTCCTCCATTTTCCAGATAAGAAAAGTGAGTCAGGGTGATTAAGGCTAAGAAACCCACTTAAGGTCACAGTACTACTTAATGGTGGCATCAGGAGGATTCAGACCTGTGTTGGATCCCATGCTCTTAACTGCTATATGCAACTATACTGCCTAACTAGCATCTTTGGTGAATACTTAAATACTTGCCAGGTACCATTCTAGCCTCTGAGTATATACAGTGGTCAATAAATAAAATTCATGACCTTCAGGGCACCTGGGTGGCTCAGTTGAGTTGGACGTCTGACTTAGGCTCAGGTCATGATTTCATGGTCTGTGCTGACAGCTCAGATGTGGAGCCTGCATCAGATTCTGTGTCTCCCTCTCTCTCTGCCCCATCCCCACTTGCGCACGCACATGCGCATGTGCTCTCACAAAAATAAACATAAAAAAATTTAAATTCATGACCTTCAAGGTCAGAATCTCAGAACTGACACTCAAAGACAAATTACCTACCTAAACCAAAAAGTTGACATCACTCTTGTACTTACAGCCGCTTGATATTTCCCACTATAGATAGCACTAAGTTTAAGCTCATTGACAACATGATTCTATGATTTGACCTTAGACTAAAGCCTCTCTCCAGGTTCCTCTTCTCATGGGACTCCCTTACTTAACATCACAATCCAGTAATTTCTCTCTGCTTAGAGGTCACTGAACACAACAGGCTGATTCATATAACCAGCCTTTACATTTTGTTTTCTATACCTAAAATTCTTCTTCTTCCTCCCTCTTTCTACCCATTCACCTAACTCCTACCAATACTATATAGCCTTGGTTCAGTATATCTGCCTTTAAAAAACTTTCTTGGGCCCATTTAAACCAGGTTAGGTGCCCTATCTTATGTATTACATGAGAATTCTATGCTTATTTCTATTAGAGTATTAACCAACCTGAACTGTAATTATCTGAGTATTTCCTGAGGGTAGGGCCTATTTTCCAACTGTATATCAAAAAGTTGTCATGTTCCCTTCATAACAGTTTTCTTCCCTTATAAAAATGGGACATACTATCCACTGCTTGTAAATTATTTTAATGGTTGCATAGATTGCCTTTTGGCTTCATTCAAGTTTTGATTCAAATGAATCATAGTGCCTTTGACTTCTCTTCTGAGGCCAACAGATTTATGGTAAAGTGGGATCATGGGCAGTGATAATCCATACTTAGACAGAGGTCAAGGTGAAAAAAACACCAGCCTAGTGAAACATACTAGAAATTCATGAACCAATAGCTGAAAGTATGCTAAAACTGTCTACTAAATTCTCTGCTTGTGCAATAGAAAGCTCACATAACTAAAAAAAATCCAAGTTCTTTTGTTTTATCTGAATTGCTTACATGATAATTTATTCATTAAGAATTTATGTAAGAATACTATAGAGCAAATAAAGAAACAGGGCCACAATCACTGCACTATTCTCCTACATCTTCCAAGCTGTCTGGTAACTCATAAAAACAAGTAAGAGTCTTCTTCACCCCTGTGCTCTACTAGGGACCACACCAAGGTCCTATGCCTGACAGCCTGCCAGGACCATTTCCATCCCCACTCAGATTATGTCCCACTGAGTATCCACAAAGTTCAAGTGTCACATTACCACTTTAGCTTTCTTCTGAGTTCCACTCATGCAATGTTAGGATTTGCAACACTTAGGCAGTACATAGGTACCATGCCTAAGGCCCAGGAGTATTATGAGCCCTAAAAACAAATCACAGGCTCCAAATAAAAAAACAAACAAAACAAACAAAAAAACAAAAAAAATTCATGTGTCATTTTATTTCTAAATAACATCATCAGTATTAATTATAGTATCTGTAAACTTTTCATTGCATTTGAAAACAACTTATAGACTAGATTTTCTCAGAGAACCACTTCTTAATATGTATTATCAATAGTAAATTTGGGGCGCCTGGGTAGCTCAGTCGGTTAAGTGGCCAACTTCAGCTCAGGTCATGATCTTGCGATCTCGTGAGTTCGAGCCCCGCGTCAGGCTCTGTGCTGACGGCTCAGAGCCTGGAGCCTGTTTCAGATTCTGTGTCTCCCTCTCCCTGACCCTCCCCTGTTCAAGCTCTGTCTCTCTCTGTCCCAAAAATAAACGTTAAAATTTAAAAAAATAGTATATTAAACAATTACAAAAATTATTTACATAATTATAGTTATATGATCCAGAAATTCCACTCCTACATATATACCCAAAAGAAAACATGGCCACACAAAAACTTGTACACATATGTTCACAGCAACATTATTCATAAAGGCAGAAATTCATAATTATTCATAACTCAAATATCTATCAATACTTAAATGGATAAAATACATTATATACATAAAATGGATCATTCTTCCTCAATACAAGAAAAAGAAGTATTGATAGATGTTACAAAATGGATTAACCTCAAAACCATTATACTAAGAGAATGAAGTTGGTCATAAAGGCAGTCTTCAGAATGCCTTCTATGCTATATATGTTATATATTCAAGCATTACTAACCTTCAACCTGCAAGTCAGTAAATCCAGACTGTAGGAAACTACTGGATAATCAGATTTCTTCAATAAACTATGCACACAGGTAAAAGAGAAGAGAAAAAGAGAGAGGGAGAGATATATGGAGGGGGAATTTAACTAAGACTAAAAAGCACATTAATCAATCACAGTATGAATGACTTTGTTTGGGTGCAGATTTGAGGTCTTTTACATTAAATTATGATACCCCTGAAAACTTAGACAATGATGGGATATCTGATGACCTTAAAAAATTAATTTTTATAGTCTTTATAATGATAATTTTTTTAATGAAAGTCCTTATCTATTAGGGTCATATTCCAAAATATGTATGAATGTAATGAAATTCTGAGATATGCTTCAAAATTAATAGCTTGCTTATGAATTAATAATTGTTGAGAATGAGTGACAAGTACCTGAGGGTTTATTTTACTATTTTTTTGGTATATATTTGCAATTTTCCAAAGGAAAAAGGTAAAAATCCTCCTCCTCAACAGCATTAATAGTTTCATAAACATGGGGTAGGGGAGCACATAAAAGAAATAAGAATACTTAAAAAAGAAAAAAGATATTAATCTAAGTGGTCCAACATGCAATCAGTATGCATCTAAGAAAATCAGAATGAGAGGCAATCATCAGAGAAAAAAATATCCTAGAATGAAGAACAGGAGTTTTCCATCTAAAAAAGATCAACACAATACCCAGAATATTTAGTTTTAA